ATTATAGGTGTGTGCCACCATTCCTGACTAAGTGATTTTATTAGTGTCTCTTAATATGTCTGTAACAATCTCTTCCTTTTGTGTGAGCCTGTGTCTATGTGTGGATATATGCATGTGAGTCCAGGTGCCTCCAGAGGCTAGCAGAGGGTATGAGATCCCCTGGAGCTGGAGTTACAGCCTGACATGGGCACTGAAACCTGAACCTCAGTCCTCTGGAAGAGCAGCAAGTGCTCTGAACTGTTGAGCCATTTCTCCAGTCCTGGTTATTCTTTTATTTGATTTTGATTTCCCGAGATCACTTCAAATGGCTTGTTACTGTAGGGGCAAATGTTAAAACATGGTTACTTTCTGGTTATCCCTCTGCAACCTGGAGAGAACGGACAGCTTTCACTTGGGTCTATATATAATGGGTCTCTCTCTATATAATGACTATAGCAACAGTGTTAGTTTTGGGGCTAACCAACATCTCCTAGAAGTAGAGAACTTAAGAGTAAAGGTAGGCTACCAGCCATCAAGTGCAAACCTGTTCTGATGCATGAGTTTCCTTTCTGCTCTGGAAAAGCAATTGCCCCGCCTTTTGCTTGAATGTCTTCAGGGAGGCTGGATTTCTTACCTGAAAATTGAATGCATTATTATATGACTTTGGAAGGCTCTTTTAATGAAACCTGAATTTCTGTTGGCTAGCTAATTTTGTTTGTTTGGTTTTGGTTTTCGAGACAAAGTCTCTCAATGTAGACCAGGCTAGCCTTGTACTCAGAAACCTGCTTGCCTCTGCCTCCCTCATGCAGCAGGCACCTCTACCTGCTCAGCTGCTCCATGGCTTAAAAACTATTTCTAAGCCTGCCTTTATCTGTCTCAGCAGTACGCAAGCAGGACAGCTGTGGGGATGGTTCTCCTCCACTGTGTGGATGCTAGGGTCAAAGGTGTCACCACACACCCTATGCTCATTTATTTTATTTTATACTTTTATTTACAATGATTCATTTATTTTTATCTTATGTGCCTACATGTCTGTATGAGGGTGCCAGATCCCCTGGAACTGGAACTACAAACAGTTGTGAGCTGCCACGTGGGTGCTGGGAGTTGAACTCAGCTTCTCTGGAAGGACAGCCAGTGCTCTTAACGGCTCAGCCATCTCTCCAGCCCTGCTCCTTTATTTTAAAGCCTCGTCATTTTCATTATCAAACAATGACAGTATAAATCAGGTTTTCCCTGTGCGCATAGGAGTCAAACCCGCGCACTGTGCATGTTAGCAAGTGCTCCATCACCTAATCACAGCTGCAGGCCCCTCTATCCTCTTACTAAGTGAAATTAGCCTATATAGTCTGAAGATTATAGTTCATTAGCATATTTTAAAAAGAAACACTGTCATGTTAAACTTTTCTTCGGGTTCTTCCGGTAACACTAAAAGAAAGCCAATGGTTCAACCACCAAATTTACACCTTCAGATCCACTAGAACAGCTCAGGACCAGCAGAGGCACTCAGACTGTAAAATCCAGGATTCCCCTTACACTCTAACGCCTGTATGATACACCCAATAAGCTACAATTATTATACAATATTCTCCAGATAGCCCAAAGTGTTCTAAGATCTTTTGATTTTTGACTACATCTTCACATTTATTAAGTATGTCTATAATTAATTGTGTCCTGCTTTTTGAGACATGGTCTCAGGTGTCCTAAATTTTTCTATGTAGCCCAGGCTGGACCTGAACTTGGGAGATTCACAAGTGCTGTGGGTACAGGTATGGACCACTGTGGGAGCCCACAAAGATTCCAACTTGTGGTTTGACTCAAAGTCAGAGAGTCAGTTTATGTTGCCCTCCAAGGCTGCATAATAGGGTGCAAAGGCATGGTTACCAGGTGTTTGAAAGGTCTACACTTGGTTGTACGTTGTGCTTTGATCTTGAAAGAGGGCAGTCTTTTCCCTCTCCCCTTGCTAGTATATAAAAAGCCCATTAGAAATAAACTCAAGGCTGCTGGGTATTGACCCAGGCCCTCTCAAAGCTATCCTGTGTCTCTGTCTCTCTGTCTCTGTCTGTATTTCTTCCTATTATTTCTCAACTCCTCACCCCCATCTTCAAGGGATCCTTTGATAGGTCAGGGCTGGAGCCCAGCACTGGGCCCTGACAGACCACCATGCCCAGCTTTTTATTTCTTCTCTAATGTACCTTGTTTTTCCTAAGTTTATTTCCTTCTCAGAAAGGAATTTGCTTCTTCATATCACATTTCCAGAAATTGAATACTGAGAAGTGATTAACCAGCCAGGCATGGTGGTGCATGTCTCTAGCCCTTGAGACTAAAGCACTTGGGGCTTTAGCACTTGGGAGGCAGAGGTAGGAGGATCTCTGAGTTCAAGGCCAGCCTGGTCTTCAGAGTGAGTACAAGGATAGCCAGGGCTACATAGAGAGACCCTGTCTTGAAAAACGAAACAAAGAAAATTAACAAGGGCATGATGGGGAGATGATTACTCTATTTCTTTGTAAATCGTATGCACATCTGAAACTAAATCTTAATAATGCTTAAATTTAATTTATAATAAGTAATTCTGCTACCCTTGGCTACTACAATTGTTCCTAGTCCCTGAATAACAGGTAATGTGATTCACAACCTTGGGGTTCAGTTGAAGCCCATGAATGGACAAAACCAAGGGATATGCTAGGGAACAAGACATACCTACCTATGGTCTTCAAGCACCTCTATAGGTTACTTAGACAAGAAGTTTGTCCCTTTTCATTGGCAAGACAGACAGTCACCACCATAATTAAATGGGTCAACCTTCCATCACACAAAGTAGGCAAAATTTCCTGCTGGGGTACCCTAAGGCACACAGAATCACTTTAGTGGCGTTCTGGCCTAAAAATCCAGGCTCTTACTCTGATCATGTGGGAATGATCAGGAGAATCCATACTGCAGAATAACTGAAGACTTAGCCTTCAAAAATGGCATGAAGGGTGAGAGAGATGCTCAGTGGTTAAGAGTCCTTGTCTCTTTGTTTCCAGTACCCACAGAGCTCACAACCAGCAGTACCAGGTCCAAGGGATTCTATACTCTCCTCTGGCTGCCTCAGGCACCAGGCAAGCACTTGGTGCACATACACACACACACACAAACACTCACATACATAAAAAGATCTTATTTTTAAAATGCTGTGAAGAGTGGACAGCGGATGAGACTGAGATTAAGAGTCACTGCAATTCAGCATGTGTGAACCTTAACCGTATCCTGAACCAGGAAAGGAGGTTTTCCTTCTGGGGAAGCAGTCAGTCCCTGAAAAGAAAGCCAACATAGAATTCCCTTCAGGAATGAATTTATTAAGAAATTGGGCCCTGCCAGGTGTGGTGGCTCACATCTATAATCCGAGCACTTGGGAGAGGCATCTGCTCTTTTGAGTTCCAGGACCGTCAGAGTTACATAGTGAGACAGAGAGGAGAGAGAGAGAGAGAGGGGAGAGATGGGGGTGGGGTGACCATCACTTCCAGCAGAGGAGGGAGGGAGGGAGAGAGACAGCAGATCACTTCCAGTTGTGGGACCTGGTCTGTTTAGAGCTTAAGGCAGCAGTCCCTATTCTAACAATAATGGCATTTGTTTTAGATAATTAGGAGAACCTAAATGTCATCTTACATGTAATAATGTTCTGAGACTGTGTAATGTACTTAAGGAGGCTGAAACAATTAGGGCCAAAGTTCATGGTATCTGAAACTTATCTGCAAATGCTTCAGTGAAATAAAAGTTATCTATAGATGCATACAGGGAGGGGGTGAGGAGCGGAGGGGAGGGGGCAAATGGGGTGGGGAGGAAAACATAGTTTGAAATATGTTAACAAAAAAAAAAATAATCCCCTGAGCTGCTTTTTGTTCAAGGGCTATCAGTGTCTATTTTGAGAGTTCAAGTATCTAAATTATTTTATCTTCCACATAGTCGTTTAGATTATAGGCAAACTTTTTTGTTTGTTGTTGTGGCATTCTTTTTTTTTTTTTTTTTTTTTTTTTGAGACACAGTTTCTCTGTGTAGCCTTGGCTGTCTTGGAACTCTACGTAGACCATGCTGGCTTTGAACTCAGAGATCAGCCTGCCTCTGCCTGCCGAGTGCTGGGATTAAAGGTTGCCACTATACCCAGCGTTAATAGTAGACAACTCTTAAGTCAGTGTTAATCAGAGCTAAAAGCACTTGAAGTCCCTTTCAAATCATTCAAGTCACTTTACTGGCTACTGTTGCTCAGCGTTTTGAAATTAGGGGTGGGGGAAAGGTCATTTTTTTTTTCATATCTAAATTTTACATAGAAATTATGGAAGTTAGTTCATCTCTCAGGTCTCTGGCCGATCTGACATGGCCACTCTGTCTTCCAACCCACCTAGACCACTGTCAACCAACACATTCAACTTGCGGGACAACAAAAAGCGAAGGTTAACGTACAAAAACGATGAAATGGCAACCACCACGAAACAACAGGTTCGCCAAAGCTGAGGCTGGGAGGTGCCTTTTCGCTCTGGGCTGGCAGGGACGAACGAACCCGCCGTACCCAGGACCAAACACAAGAGACGAAATCGGCCGCTCTCGTTTCTGTCTCACCCCGTCTCGGCTTGGCTTAGTTTTCACAGCCTCCAGCCAGGGCAGAGCGGCACGGGAGCAGGGAGAGGAGGGTGCGCGCCCTGGCGTTCCCGAGCCCGCAGGAGCCAGGGAGGTCTCGAGAGCCGCCGTCAGGGGGGCTCGGGTCTGACAGCTCAAGGTCACCGAGGGGACACCGTGCAGACCCCAGGGCGAGCCCCGAGCCTCCAGCCCCGGGGCGGGCGGCGTCTCGGGTGACAAGCCCCCCCCCACCCCCGGGGGGCTGTCTGGCCTCCCGCTGCGCCGCGCTGCCCGTTGCGCAGCCCCACGGTGCACGCGGCGGCTCCCCACCCGGAGTACCCTCCGGCCGCCTTCCTCCCGCCCCACCGCCGCCGCCGCCGCGAACCCGCGATTCTGGGGCCGGAGGAAAAGCGAGCGTACTTAGCCACAGGCTCTGGCATCCGACGACGGCCCCGGGGCCGAGGGGCTGCGGGGCGCGGAGAGTCCGAGATCGGAGGGGAAGGTGGAAGGAGGGCGCCGCGCCGCGGGACAGCCGAGAACACGTGGGGGCGGTGGAAGGCAAGGTGAGCGTGGACCCTTGGACCCAGATTCGTTACAGCCTGCGGACACGGAGGGGAGGAAAAGCCAGGACCCCAAGTGAATTCTAAAAAAAAAATCAGCTAAGAATTAAGTTTTGCTTTGCTCTGTTAGACAGGGCTCTGTACTGTTATTTTCCTTTCCCGCGGCACACGAATCTGTCGAGGTTGGTAGGGAGCCTCATATACTTACCCCTAGGTCTCTAACGGTCTACAGTTACTACGGCGTCGCTCACCCTTGATAAACGAAGACGGTGCGCATGGGCTGATGGAGAGTCCTCCGGCCCTCGAGGAACAAAAACAAACGCGAGAGGCTGCCTTTGAAATAAAAAAATAAATAAAGTCACATCTCTTTGACGTCTCTTTAACGTTGGGGGGATTTGTTCCCACCCGGGTAGGAGAGGAAGAGCACCAGGATGCGCCCGAGCGTTCACTTCCGTTTGGAAAAAAAACAAAACACAAAACCCCGGAGCTTTCCGCGCCTGCGCGCTGAGTCTCGAGGGCGGGCTGCGGGGGCCGAGGGTGTTGACCGGCGGGCAACCGAAGCCGTGGCCGTGCGAGCCGAGGGCGCGGCGTGGGGGCCGGCCTCCGTGGACGGCGTCGGGGCGTCCGGAGCTGCGTCTGCGCCCGCCCGGAGGAAGCGTCCGCGGAGGGCGACCGTTGACGGGCGGGGTTTGGACGCCGCCTGCCCGGCGGGGTCGCGCCCAGCCCTGCGCCCGCCTCCGCGTCGGTCGGGGTGCCCGGCGGCAGCCCCGGTGTCGGGGGAGCGCTTTGTGAGTCCCGTTCCCGCGGCGGCGTCTTCGCTCTGGCCGTGATTCCTTTCGCATTTCTTGCCCCGGTGCGTGAACAGACTCGGAGGGAGACTAACAGGGCGCCCGAGACTTTCCAGTCGGGTTTGGTCCTGGAGGAAACGTCGAAAGTGACACGTACAGCTTTGTGGATGTTTTGTCTTGATTTTTTTTTTTTTTAAAAAAGTTAAGGACTGCTTCTTGATCATTTTTTTTTTTTTAATTCCGGTATTCCTTATCAAAGCCACCTCTACCCTTGCATCTTTTCCCACTGAAGTCTGAGCCCAGAAGACAGTCCCTCTGTTAAGAACCGCGCGGGACCTGTTTTGTGACTAGCCATATGAAAAACTTGGAGTTTAGCCTGGAAAGGGGGAGAAGGGTTAAAATGCCAGCGAGGAGACTGCGAGAGGTCCTTTCCCCAAACCAAAGGGATAACTCGGCCGTGGTGGAAGATGAGCTGCCCCGTGTTCCTCCAGCACTGTCTGCAAATAAACGTCTTGCTGTTGGCGTGAGGACTGGCCCAAACGGAACTTCATATGGTACGTGATTCCAAATGTTGCAGTTTCCTACCCTGTTTATGTTTTTGTAAAACGTTAGTCTTTATTTTCGACTCTAGATTGGGATGTGGGGGCCCCAGAATTTAAGGGAGTCAGTGTTTACATTCTCAAGTGTAAGCTACAAATCTGGTTTGTACGGACGTTTGAAAAGTAACCTGGTTCCCTGGGGAAATGGCCAGTCTGCAGAATGTTTCAGCATGTAGAATGAATGAAACCTGAAAAGTAACTTGGTTCCCTGGGAAAATGGCCAGACAGTCTGCAGAATGTTTCAGCATGTAGAATGAATGAAAGCTGACTATTTCCCGTTGTGCTTCTTCTTGTTGTTGTTCACACCCATGATGGATACAGTGAGCTTGTATAATCTGCTTAATATTTACCAAATGTTCTCGTGCCATCCAATCTGGCATAGGAGAAATGCATGACTTAGTCTTTGGTGGCCTCTGTATTTACAACTCACCTGCCCTGTTTAGAGCTGTGAAGTGGTACTGATTATCTTAAGGCTCATATTAATGAATGTGTGCGCTAGAAGAACAGTATGCTTGCTGCTTTTTGGAGGTATGCTAGAGCAGACCTTCTGTTAGATCAGGCGTTTGTGCATGGTTTTTGTTTGTATTCGAAACGGAGTTTCCCTGTAGAGTCCTGGCTTGGAACTCACAGAAATCTGCCTCCTGGTGGCTGGGATTCAAGGCATGCACAACCATGCCTGTCTATATACAGGTTTGTACTGGTGAATCATGTCTTTTTTCCACATTGAATAAATAAATACCTTTTAGAATTTTCAGGAAAAATATATTTTTTCAAATGTATCTATGTGAGTTGAGGTGCCCCTGGAGGCCAGAGTAGTTGGATCTGCCTAGAGCTAGATTGACAGGTGATTGATTGTGAGCTATCTGTTGGAGGTAACAAACTCCAGTCTTCTGCAAGAGCAGCAAGTACTCTAACCTGCTTTGCCGTCTCTCCAGTCCCCCCTCCCCCAAATCCTTTTAAAATGTTCTATTTTAGGGCTGGAGAGATGGCTTAGAGGTTAAGAGCACTGGCTGTTCTTCCAGAGGTCCTGAGTTCAATTCCCAGCAACCACATGGTAGCTCACAACCATCAATAATGAGATGTGGTGCCCTCTTCTGGCCTGCAGGCAAACATGCAGGCAGAACATTGTATACATAATAAATAAATAAATCTTTTTTAAAAAAGCCCTATTTTAGCCAGACAGTGGTGGCTTACACCTTTAATCCCAGCACTTGAGAGGCAGAGGCAGATGGACCTTTGTGAGTTCGAGGCCAGCCTGGTCTACATATCGAGTTCTAGGACAGGCTCCAAAGCTACACAGAGAAACCCTGTCTCAAAACAACAACAACAACAAAAATCCTATTTTATTTTATTGAGAGAGGATCTCACTGTGTAGCTCTGGTTGGCCTAAAATTCACTCTGTAGACGAGGATAGCATCAAACTCGAAGAAATTCACTTTTGAGTACTGCAATTAAAGAGTTCGACAGCATGTCTGCTGCTGAACCATTTTAGATCTCACCCACTTAATTGCTTTGACTGATCATTATTTTCCTAAACATCAGCCATGAAGTCTTCCATTGGAATATATCTAAATATATTCCAGTTTCTTCTACAGGAAAGTGTCTTCACATTTGGTTTTTAAGTTAATACGGAGGTCTCAGTTCTTGTATCATGTCTATTTAGTTGCTGAAGGTCAGGTTTTGATTTAATGCCCCTCAGATTGGACCTGTGATTCAGTGCTAGAACTTACCATGGGAGAGGCACCACTGAGTTCCTTGTTTTCTTAGGTTCGTTGGATTTAACTTCTGCCAGAAAACATCACCAGCTTCTGTCAGAAAATCCTCCTGTAGCCGATAAAAGTGTAAGTAAAAGAATTCTAAGTCGTATTAAAACCTCAGTATTATCAAGTTCTTAAAGCTATGTTTTGTTAACATGTTTTGTTTTATTTAGGTACTTCAGATGAAGAGAAATGTTTTGTTTTTCACTTGTTCATTTTATTTTTATCACATTTTTATCTGTTTATTTTGTATACATGTAGGTATGTGGGCATGCACAGGCCATTTTTGTGCATGCAGAGAGCAACTTTGAAGAGTTTATTCTCTTCTGTCTAGTTGGAGTCATTGGACTTAGCAGCAAGTGCCTTCCCTGTTAAGCCATCTTACTAGCTCAAGAAGTGTTCTAGGACTATGACTTGAAGAGTGTGGGGTGTTAAATATGTCTACTGTATTGTTAGTCTTATTGGTGTTTAGAAAATGAACACCTGTCATCATTATAACCTTTTTAAAATAAGCTTTTTCCACTCCCGTGTGTGCGCGTGTATGGAGGGGTAAGGAGTGTGTCGAGGCTGCTGTCAGGAAGCATCCTCCACTGTCCTTCCACCGTAGTTCATTGAGTCAGAGTCTCTGAGTCCCAAAGCTCACTGACCACCTGCCTCTGGGGATCCCCGTCTCGGCCTTCCGGGGCTGGAGTTACAGGCAGACTGCCACAGTCTCCCAACATTTACTTTGGTGCTGGGATCCACACTCTGGTCCTCTTGCTTGTGAGGCGAGTGCTTTAACTCCTGAGCCGTCTCTCAGCCCTCTTTTTTTTCTTTGGCTTTAGCAGCTAAAAGGAAGGTGAAGAGCAACATGGAACCGATCTAGTGCCCCAAGAGTTCAAATGTGTCAGCACCGAATAGTCTTAGAGATGAGTTCTAGGATTGTGTGTAAGAGCAGAAAGCTATTGAGCGGTAGATGTACCCTACATCGCTAGGGAACTCTCTAAGAGCGCATGAGCTCAGTGACCCTGAAAGCCTTGGCTAGTTTACAGTGCTGTACTATGAAATGACTGCCCTCCCCCTCCAGCTGACCATCCTTGACCCAGGTTAGCCCATGAAGCTGAAGCGGCTGAGGTAGAGTCTTCTCATCACATGTGGATTTGAACCAGAACCGTGTGCCGTTTCTGCTTCCTCATTCACTTTCTCATTCACCCTTCTGATACCGGATTTGCTCGTCCATTGAGAAGTCTTTGAGTGGCTTCAGAACACTTGTGAACCCTGTAGTATTGGGAATGAGATAAGGAAGATGTGCAGGCCTGCCTCCCTAGATCCCAGTAGTCACATGACTGCCAATGGTACTTCCTTACTGGTCATCGTACAGTTCATTTGGTCTTATTCTCTTCTTTTCTTCCCGAAGGATTTTTCTAAAGATGCTGTAGTTCCAAGGCTACCTTTGAATAAAACAGAAGAGAACAGCACACATAAAGGTAAGTTAATACAGTTTTTACAACTGAATTGAGATATGCTGAAATTTTTTTTGTTCAGTTTTGAATGCATAGTTCTGTGACCATAAGTGCATTCGTATTGTTGTGCGACATCACTATCTTTCACCTCTGGGAATTTTCTCATGTCCCCTGCAGAGCTCTGTGCCCCTGAAGTCCTCAGTCTTGCCTCTGAGCTTGACCCCTCATGTGCCTCTTTAAGTGGCATCTTGTAGTGCTTAACCTTGGTGCCTGGCTCACTTGAGCCAGTCCATGGTGGAGTTTGTGTCAGGATTTTACTTTTTGAAAATTGAATCTAATTTATTTCTTTTGTGTGTTTGGGTATTTTGCCTGCCTGTATGTCTGTGCACAATACTCATGCAGTACCCAAAAGGCCAGAGGAGGGGTCAGATTATCTCATTTTGTTCTTCCTTTAGAGGTAGAACAAATTCTAATTTTGTCTCCGCTCATTTTTGTTTTTATATAATTTTCTAATATTTAGGATCTTGATTGTTACATTATTGCTTAGTCATTTAAACTGTACCTTACCTTTTAAAACGTGATAAATCCAGGGGTGGAGAGATGACTCAGTGGGTGAGAACATTGGCTGCTCTTCCAAAGCACCCTGGTTCAATTCCCAGCACCCACATGACAGTTCACAGCTGTATCCAGACAGCTGTATTCCAGAGTATCCGACACCCTTACACAGACATACATATAGGCAAAACACCAATGCACATAAAATAAAAACAAATCATTAAAATTGATAAATTCTACTACCAAATCACTATTCATTCTTTTACTTTAAGATGTTGTGGTTTTTTATGTATATATGTGTGCATGCACACATGTTCGTGTGTGTAGGTCTGTGTGTACTTGTGTAGGGTTGTGTGTGTGTTTGCATGAAGGGAGGCTAGAATTGATATCAAGTGTCTAAGTCACTCTCTCCCTGTAATCTGTTAAGACATGGTCTCTTCTGAGCCCGGAATTCACTACTCAGCTCACCTGGCTGGTCAGGGAGCATCCTTTCTCTGCTGTCTGGCACTGGGGTTACAAATGCACACTGCTTTGCTCGGCGGCTTCTTATGTTGGTACTAGGGCTGAGACTAGGCCCTCATGCTTGTGTGACGAGCAGTTTGCTAATGGAGCCATCCCCTCAGCCTTTTAATTGATTTGTTTTAGAGACAGGGTTTTGCCGCATAGTCCTGGCTGGCCTAGAACTTGCTATGGTAGACCAGGCTAGCCTCAAAATTGCAGGAAACTTCATGCCTCTGCATCCTGAGTGGTAGATATGGGTGTCAGACAATTACAGGTCCAAATTCAATCTTTCTTTCTTTTCTTCTTTCTCTCTTCTCTTCTCTTCTCTTCTCTTCTCTTCTCTTCTCTTCTCTTCTCTCTCCTCTCTCCTTTCTTTTCTCTTTCTCCTTTTTTTCTTTCTCTCTCTCTCTCTCTTTCTCCCTCCCTCCCTCCCTCCCTCCCTCCCACAGTACCAGGGATCAAACCTGTGATCTCATACATAGTAAGCAAGTGTTCTGCCACTGAACTACATGCCTAGCCCTCAATCTTGACATTTTTTCTTCTTTAGAATCTGAAATATATTTTTGTGTCTTAATTTTTCAGCAAATGACATCTTTATTTCGCAGTACACCATGGGACAGAAAGATGCTTTGCGAACTGTTCTAAAGCAAAAGTAAGTTTCGTTTACAGACACACTTGTGATGTGCTACCTTGTTGGAGGGAAACTGCTTTAGCATATGTTGAAAGATGAATACACAGCGATTAAGAACACAGCAATGTTCTAAGATGAACCATAGCAACGTCTAGGGCTGGGGATGTAGCTCAGTGGTACAGAGCACTTGCCAACGTGCATGGTCTAGGAGTGAGTGTAGCTTAACAGCAGCAAGTTCTGATAGCCCCCCCTCTGTCCCCTGCCCTGCTTTCTTACTAACTCTAATATTACAGTAGCCCAGCATATCTAATGATGTACACAGACGCAGGCATGAGTGGCTAGAGTTGGCACAGGAAAGAGCATTGCATTCGAGGGATTACCATACAGCTGTGTGAACCATGGCATGCCTGATCATCAAGTCTCAGCTCTGTGTTCCGTGCAGCAACTCAAAAGGAATCAATAAAGGGAGAGACCAGCAGGCGGTGTGAAGACAGGGTTGTGGAAGAGGCCATGAATGGCCGTATCGCATCTGAAGAAGAGAGTAGTGAGATGGTAGAAGCTTGAGAGGACAGAGAGAAAAACTTGAAATTAGTTGTGGGCCCAGTGGCTTTGTGTCTTCAACGTAAGGAGCTTTGTGACTCCTAATAGATGTTGTTTGGCAGAGTAAGAGCTGTATGATGTAAAGGAGGGCAGCTAGAAGAGTGGAATTTGGGGGATGACGACGACGACAAGCTAACCTCAGAAAGCTGAAGGCCCGTGGGAAGATCTCTGGGAATTGGACCCTTAACTCTGTCCTTCACTAAATCCTTGGCTTTGGTCAAGTAAATCCCATTACTTCTGGACTTCAGTTTCTTTATGTAAAATTGAGAAATAAGGGTAGATGATCTTAGATTCCTTACCTTCCCAGTTCTCTCTAAGGCAGTTGTCATGTAATTGTGATGAAATAATTGAGGAGACTTGGTGACTCACCTGGTTATGAGAAGGTCAGCAGATGGAGAAGCTGAAATAACGTCACACAGTTGAGGTGTGCAGGGAACAGTTGTGAAGAGGGTCGCAGAGAAGTAAGTACAAGAGCGCTGTGCTGTGCTCAGAAGTAAGCTGAGGGGACCATGCTGTACGTGGGCCTTTTCCTGCTGACACCACTTAGACTCACTAGGGACTCCCAGGTTTTGTCGGTGTCCTTGAACCAGTTTGTCTGGGTCTAAATAGAGAGTGCGGAGGACCAGCTTTTAAAAAAAAAAAAAAAAAACCAAGTCAGATGTATATCTGGGATTATGTATCTGAGTTTGCTGTGTTCTTTTTTTGTGGTAAGGGGGATTGAACTCAAGGCCTTGCGCATGCTCGGATTCCCACTGAGCTGTTATCCCCATTCTGCCAGACTCCTTGTGATGCCTAAGGGTATGTGTGGTGCCCATTAAGTAAACCAGGTGACATTTATTGAAGAGGCTAGGATTCAGAAAACTCAGAACTTTTAATAGTCCTTCTTGGGACTTTGTGGTAAGTAAGTGAGCCAGCAAAGAAAGAATTACCATGTAAACTAGATGGATCAGATGCATCACAGAAGCAGGGTAGATTGGGGGATGCCAGAAGTTGGTTGTTGGGGAAACGGGAGATAATTACCAAAGTGGACCTTTGTATGCAGCATGACAACCACAGTGAATATTAATTACTAAGAGTAGATCAGAAGTGTTACACCAGAGAATAGGTAGTTACGTAAGGTAATGGGTATATTGATTAGCTTGATTGTGCTGTTTTATGGTGTATATACGTATAAAAAAAATCGCATTTTATACTGCACATATTTTAAGTTTGTCAATCATGCCTTAGTTTTTGAAAAATAGTAGTCTGTATCGTTACTGTTAAAATTTTTTGAGTTTTTGGCTTTTGTTTTTTAATTTTTGAGGTCATATTTTAATGTCAGCATTTCTTTCCTCCCTTCAAATTCTCCATATACCCCTCCCCACTCTCCTTCAAATTCATGGTCTCTTTTTTTCACTAGTTGTTATTTTGTGCATAGTTATATTTGCGCTCTCTCTCTCTCTCTCTCTCTCTCTCTCTCTCTCTCTCTCTCTCTCTCTCTCTCTCTTTCCCGGATAAAATCCTGTGGAGTCCACATGTTACTTGCCTGTGTTTTCAGGGCTGACCATTTGTCACTGGACAACCGCTTGGTGTGCTCGTCCCTGGGAAAGGCCAGCTCTCCCTCTCCTGGCTTTCCTCAGTTACTCTGGTTCTTTGGGTAGGGCTGAGGTCTCTTGGGCTTCTCTGAATGCAATTCGGCATGGTCAGTGGTGTCGTCCTTGCTCAGCTCATGTCTGGCGGCCATGTTGGTGAGACTTTATGGGTGTGGCCTCTGACATTGCTATGGACACAGTGTCCCAGCAAGTCCCTGCTCCTGGCTCTCGTAGGATCCCTCTGCCCCTCTGCCCCTCCCCTGCGGTGTTCCCGGAGCTGTGGGTGAGAGGGTGTTGAGTAGGACTCCACAGCTCTGCGCTTTGATTGGCTGTGGTTTTCTGAACTGGGCTCCATCCATTGCTAAGAAAAGTTCCCTGGATGGAGGTGAAGACTGCACTTCTCTGTGGGTGTAAGGACACATGTTTCTAGATTACTGTCAGGGATCATGCACGTTTAGTAAATTAGTGGTTGTCCGTTTTCCTCCGATAACCGTGGTTTCACCAGCACTGACTAGGTAGGTAGGTTTCCAGGCATGGTCGCCCTCTTGTTGAGCAAGTCCTAAGTGCTCTGGGACAGCTGTTGGTTACCAGCAGGGTATACGCACCACTGACGGACCGGACTGTAAGCTTATCTTGCTGGTTGTTGATGGGGTTCATGGGAGTCATAGCTGGGTGGGACTGTCGGTTGCCTTTCTTTCTCTTTTGGAAGCTAGCAGGGCCCCTTCTGGTAGCTACCATGGAAGCTAGTCCTCAGGGAGGAGCATTCAGATCAGCTTCATCTTCGGGGCCTCTGGGCCTTGTTTTTGACGTACATGGTGTCTCCAGGGGCGGTAACCAAGGGCAACAGCCCTAGGCTGTATGTGTTGGAGTCTCTTAGTCCTGACCAACAACTGAAAAGAGGGATTCTCAGGTCTGGTATTGGGTGGTTGTTGTTTTTTTAGGTGGTCTTTAGAGGGAGTGTTGTCAGCCCAAATAAAGTTGATTAAACCTGTGTATTGTATCTATACACTGAGGTGCCCGCATTACTGTTTTTTAGGGTAAATAGTTAAAAGTATGACCCCTTGTGCCTTTTCAGCTATCCGCGCTGTTATTTCACCCTCCCTCCCCTTCCCTAAGGAGCCTGCCTTTTGTTTCCCCTGTCCCAGGGGGAGTTGTGTCCTGCTGTTCTCCTTTCCCATCCTCCACCTTCTCCTGTCTTTCCCTCCCTCCCACTCCCCAGGGAGCCCACTTCCCGGCCTGGATTACCTGTATTCTGCAGCCCCTTCACTGCATTTCTGCCTTCTGAACTGAACCCCTCCTCTTCTTAAGGAGTGCACCCTTTCTCCGGTCCCTGATGAGATTACTTACGCTCTGCTATCCCCCTCTCAGTTGCTCCCCAAACCACCTGGTGGAGCAATGGTCCTGTTTTCCTATCCTGGTTTTTATAGTGACTACTGACTATGTTTTCACACCTGAAGATTCAGAGCTGGGCCTCCAGTTAGAGAGAACATGCAACATTTGTCTTTCTGGGCCCAAGGAACCTCACTCAATATGATTTTTTCTAGTTCCAGCCATTTACCTGCAAAGTTTATGATCTCATTTTTCTTTACCACTGAATAGTATTCGGTAATGTATATATACCACATTTTCATTATCCATTCGTCAGTTGTAGGGCATTTAGATTGCTTCCATATTGTGACTAGAGCAGTCATGAACATAGCGGAGCAGCTGTCTGTGGAGTCGGATGTTGAGTTCTTTGGACGTATACTGAGGAGTGGTAGAGCTGGTCATAGGGTAGATTTAATTTTAGCTCTTTCCGGATTTTTCACAGTTTTCATAGCGACGCACCAGTTTGCAGCCCCACCAACAGGGATCCAGCGTTTCCCCACATTGCTCCAGCATTTGCTGCTGCCTGTCCCCTTGATCTTTGCCTCTCACTGGGGTGTTTGGATTTGCCTTTCCCTGATTGCCAGGGATGATGATGAACACTTTTCAGATACTTCTTAGCTCTTTTTTCTTTTGAGTACTCTACTCAGATCCTAGGCTTGTGTTTTGAGTGGCTCATTTGTTTTTTTGACTTGTTTGTTGGGTTCTTTGACTGTTCTGGAAATAATCTCTGTCAGTTGTGTTGCTGGCATTCTCTGCACTCCTCTTCGTCCTGTTGGTCGTTTCTGTAGCTGTGCAGAAGCTTTTGAGTTTCATGAGGTCCCACTTGTCAGTTGTTGGCTCTAGTTCTTGGGCGGGCAAATGGCGTCCTGTTCAAGAAGTCCTTCCCTACACCTCCATCATGTGCAGTACTGCCTACATCATCTTCTGGTGGTTCCAGGGTTTCAGGTTTCGAGGTTAGTTCTTTGCTCCATTTGCAGTTCACTTTTGTGGAAGGTGATAGCAGTGGATCTAATTGCATTCTTCTGCATGTGAACATCCAGTTTTCCCAGCACCATTTGTTAAAGTTGGTTTCTTTTCTCCAGCTTAGGTTTTTGGCATATTGGTCAAATATAAAGTGACTGAAGTTATGTGTGCTCCTGTTTGGGTCTTCAGTTTTGTTCTGTTGTCTAGCTGTCTTATTGTGCCAATACCATATTGTTTTTATTACTATGCTTCTATAATATATCTTAAAATCTAGAATCTTAATCCCTCTAGCATCCCCCAAGCTCAGGGTTTCTCTGTGTAGCTTTGGTGCCTGTTCTGGATCTCGCTCTGTAGCCCAGGCTGGCCTCGAACTCACAGAGATCCGCCTGCCTCTGCCTCCTGAGTGCTGGGATTAAAGGCGTGCGCCACCATGTCTGGCTTTTTATTTATTTATATATGTTTTTTGTATTTTGTGTTTTATTAAATGGCTTTGTATCTCTTTCCACAGTCTCTCTGTTATGTTCACTTTTCTCTTCAGCCCAAAATAAAGCTTCCTGTATTTCCTGTAGGTTTCATTTGTTGGATATAATTTTGAGGCTGTTTATGTCGTGGAAAGTTGTTCTTTTCCTTCAGTTAAGGCAGACAGTTTACCTGAGTATATTAGTCTACGTTGGCTGCCAGTCTTTTAGCACTCGGAATGCATTGCTCCAGGCCGTTTTGGCTTTCAGCTGTTATTCTGATATGTTTTCCTTTGTATATGACTTATATTCTTTTCTCTTGCCCTTTTCTTTTTTTTTGGTTTTCTTCGAGACAGGGTTTTCTTCGTAGCTTTGCGCCTTTCCTAGAACTCACTTGGTAGCCCAGGCTGGCCTCGAACTCACAGAAATCCGCCTGCCTCTGCCTCCCGAGTGCTGGGATTAAAGGCGTGCGCCACCACCGCCCGGCTCTCTTGCCCTTTTCAAAACACTTCTTTGTTATGGATGCTTAATGTTTTAACTATGTGTACTTCTTGTAGGTGTATGGATGTGTCTTTCTGTCTAGAATAGTCACTATTCTATTTTGTGGAGGGACACCATGACCAAGGTAACAAGGGTCACGCCTCCTAATCCTTCTAATCCTTTCAAATAAAGCCACTCCCTGGGCCATTCTTTTTTGTTTGTTGTTTTGGGGTTTTGTTTCTCCAGACAGGATTTCTCTGTTTAACA